AGCTGGACTCAGTGGCCGGGACCTGGCCGGCGGCGGCAATGGTGCTGACCGAGGCCGAGACCGCCATCGTGCGCGCGCTGTGGAGGAAGATGGGCGACAACGTGGGCGTCTACACGACAGAGGCCCTGGAGAGGTGGGCCGGGGCCCAACGCCCTTCTGGCTCCGGAGGCATCCCCCCTTGGGGCACCCCCTCTTCTCGGCGGTCCTTCCCCTGAAACCCCTTGTCTGCCTCCACCCCCGCAGGACTTTCGCTGCCTTCCCCTCCACCAAGACCTACTTCCCCCACTTCAACCTGAGGCCGGGCTCAGCCCAGGTCAAGGCGCACGGCAAAAAGGTGGCCGCCGCACTGACCCAAGCGGTCGCCCACCTGGACAACGTGCCCGGTGCGTTGTCCGCGCTGAGTGACCTACACGCGCACAGGCTCCGAGTGGATCCGGTCAACTTCCAGGTGAGGATGTGCCAGGCCTGGCGGGAGGCAGGAGGGGCGGGGTCTCAGTTAACCTGGGGAGATTAAGGGACAGGCCTCTCCAGCCCAATGCAGCGTGCCCCTCCTTCCACAGCTCCTGGCCCACTGCCTGCTGGTGACCCTGGCCCGCCACTACCCTGGGGACTTCAGCCCCACCATGCATGCTTCGCTAGACAAGTTCCTGAGCCACGTAAACTCAGTGCTGGTGTCCAAGTACCGCTGAAGGGGGTGGGTCAGTCAATGGACACCCCAGCAGCACACTGCCCCGAGTAAAGCTCTGATGGGTGCAGCCTGCTGGCGTGTTCTCTGGCGGGGCACAGGCTGCTAACCCACCACCTTGACCTCCACCATTATGACCCACTGTATGCCCTTGGCTGCAGTTCGTAGGGGTGCGAACGAGGCAGGGCCAGGCAGCTGGGAAGGGGCGCAGCCTGGAGGCGCTCGCCTCCTAGCGGATGGAGCCCGTACTGCTGGAGCACTGGCCCAGAGGCTGGGTGGCAGGAAGATGTGCAGGCTCTGAAGCCCATTTCCAAGACGTTGATTACGTGCGGCTGCTGCTAGCTCCTACTTAGACTGGCCATGCATCACACACAGGCCTGAAACGATTTTTTCCCCTAAGAAATGGTGGCCTTGGTGTACAACTGGGCAGGTTGGACTACAGAAAAAGCTGTACTCAGAAACGGTTCAATACTGTTTTCCAAGGATTTTTGCAGCCCTTGTAAAACTCCTCTAAGACTGCAGATGACCTGAGGCAGAGGGCAGGTACCACCTTCTGGGCTCCCTGCCTGCTGAGGATGGTGCTTGCATTCGACACCTTGGTCCATGGAAAGCTTTCCCCACCCCAAGGTGGACCAGCACCCCTACCATGGAGTGTGGGGCACCTCCACCTGGAGCACTGTCTCCATCCTGCCGCATCATTTGCTAATGAGGGGGGCACGCTTCAGGTCTGGCCTAGGGCCCACCCAGCTCTGAGGGTAACAGTAATTTCAGTCATCAGTGGTTGCCCCAAGGCTTGGGTTGAAGGGGCAGGCTGGCAAGGGGGAGGTGACATAGCACTTGCTGGTAGCAGCAGCACAGTGCTTATGCCACAAGGTGAGAAGTGATGTGAGAGACCAGCAGACAGCTCCAGGGAAGAGAGGACTTTCTAGTTTGCGAAACCTGAAAGGGGCAAAAAGGTTCTCCCCTGTCCTGTTAGATAGGACCGAGTCAGAATTGACTGGACAGTTTGGTTTTGAGTTCTCCCTCAGAGTTTGTGGCCAATGGGTACTGTCCCTTGAAGAGGCTGACCTTGCAGGAGGGTGGCATGGACATGGCCTGGGCTCTTAGCTGCCCAATAGATGACCATCTGACAAGTGGGGTCAGCAGCCTCTCCACAAACAGCAGGGCCTTTCCCACGACCAAGACTGTAGCTATCTGCGTCCCCCTCCCAGGACCCACCCGCTGCGCCCAGAGCCCCAGGCTGGGCTCCAAGTGTTCCACCCAGCCACTCTCTCCATGTCCAGCGGTGGCCTACAAACTCCAAGCCACGCTGCCCTCCACACTCCTCCCTCCAACCTGATCCACAGCTGCCACTCTAAGCAATGCTCTCTCCGGTGTGGCATTAAGGTCAAGGTGGGCAGCCAAGACCTTCTGGGCAATGGTCCCAGCTAGAACCAAACCATGTGAGCTCCCTGACCCACCAGTCCAGCCAGCCCCCAGCCCGACACATTCCACTTCCCCAAGCAAACAGGCCGGGGTTGGTGGGGACCGCTGGCAGCAAGCTTCTTCATTCCGCTCTGGGATCTGAGGACTCATCAGGGCCCCATGCTGTGTGAATCCAGGGAGGCCTGGGCTGCTATCCCTGAAGGCCACTTTAGAAATGTAGGCACCCACCCTGCTGTCCACATACAGGGACCCACCTCCGATAAAGGGGGATGGGGCTGGTGGTCCTATGCCCCACAGGACAGGGTGGGAGCACAGCACGCCCCCCCCCACACACACACACACTCCCCCAATCTGTGCCCAGTCTGTCAGCAATGTCCCAGTATGAAAAATAACATCTGCAAAACCCTTGTGGACCCCCAACTGCTCCAGCCCCTCACCAGCCCTTCTATGGCCTCCGTGGGAAGCTGGAAGTAAAAGCCCATCACACCAGCTGGTTCAGGGGCCAAAGCAGCCTAGGAGAGCTGGCTTACTTTGTTGAGGCAGCCGCCCCACCCAGCAAAAAAGAAAAAACACCCACAACACACACATTCAGGGGCAAGAGCTAGGCTGATTCACTGACTGCTAGCCCAGCAGATAAAGAGACACCCCCAAGTGGGAAAAGGTGTGTCTGACAGTGAAAATCAAGTCGGCCATCCTCATCTTAGCCCCATGCTCACCCCCCCACCCCCCAACCCCGGCCAGCTCTCCAGGCGCAGGAGGAAGAAGAGACCCCATCCCGATGAGTGGGCTGCGAGGAGGCAGCGGTTGATTTATTCCTACTCAACACGATCCAGACACAGGAGCACCTGTGCCTCTGGGAGCCAGCACACACTCCTGAACAACACAGAGTGAACGACAAAAGGCTGCAGGCTGCTGAGTGTCCCTTCGCCCGACTGTCAGCAGGTGACCAGTGGCTCAAATCTCGCCTGCCTCTTTCTCTTCAGACCTTCCGTTCGGGCCCTCCAGCCTCCAGTCGAAGGGGCCTCTCTCACTCCGCCCCCAAGATTCCTCTCGGGCTGCTCCTTCTCGGGAGAACCTGGGAGGGAACAGAGGCTCAGGTTAGAGAAAAGACCGGAGGCCCACGTCAGGGCCCAGGAGTACAGGGCTGATCAAACCTTTCCTGTGCTGGATGCCAACAGGGAGGTGGGTGCTTGTGTGTGAGACAGAGAGTGGGGTGTACGTGTCCGCAATGTAGCCAGGACACAAGCCTCAGAGGCTCCGAGGAGAGGTGACCGCGGGCCCAGCATGGCAGGGCTCAGGGGAAGAGGGACTATAGGAGCAGAAGTTACTTGTGTCTCGAGCTGCGGTCTCTGGAGGCCCGGCGGTGGCCCCGGCTGTGGCTTCTGGACCGGCTGCGGTGTCGCCGGTGTCTGTCTCGGGACCTAGATCTCGAGGATTTCCGCCGCTCTCTGGAGGCTGACCTTGACCGCCTCCTTCGCCGGTCCCGAGAGCGAGACCTGGTGGAGAAGCAGAGGAGGCTCTGGGACCTGCCCAACCAGGACCTCGGTCCTGGGAAACCATCTCTCCCAGGGAACCTTGGGTTGCCACCTTTCCCACTCCTTCACACCTCCTGCCATGCCAGGTCACATGTTAGCCAGAAACTCACCTCCTGCGGTCTCTGGTCCTCGATCCAGACCTGAAAAGGGACCCAAATGAGGAGCAGCCCAGGGATACAAGGGGGCCTGTCCCCTCAACCCTGGGTTGTAGGATTATAAAGCAAATTCTCCCAAGTCTTCTCCCCCAAATAGATGTTAGACTTAGGACACTGCTTGCAGCTAATGGTAAATGATTGTCAAGTTACCTCCCTGAAGGCAGTCAGTTGCCAGACTACTTTCTGGGCCCACCAGAGGTAGGGCCAGCTCCCTGCTGTTAAGGACAATGGGCTACTTCTCCCTAAAGGCTTGGGACCATTAGCCTGGTCCCTGTAGGTAGGGTTTATACCCTACTGATAATGGTTTCTATGGAGATCCAGAGAACAGGTCAAAACAGTCCAAAATTAGCTGCCATCCTGAATCTAGGATCCTCCCGTCTTGCCACATGTATACCCCCAATCACTCCTCTTCCTACTGTGTGTATATCCCTAGCATGCCCCCCCTCTCATTGCTGTATAACCTACAGTGCAACCCCTTCCTGTGACGTATGTCTTTACCTATAATTAGGGGCTTGCACACCCCACCGAAGGTTTATAAGCCTGGGTTAGCAATAAAGAGCTCTCTCCGGCTCCCCTGTCAGTTCCCCCTCTCCTCTCCCATCCTCCTCCCCCGTTCCATTCCCCCTTGTCCTTCTTCCCCTCCCCCTCTCTCCTCCTCTCCAGTCTCCCATCGCCACATGGACCACCAAGCGGGACTGAGGTGAGCATGCGACCGTGAAATGTGTCTGACTCCATTATTTCCATCTCTCCTCTATTCTTCATGCTCTCTAGGACTTTACTGTAATCTTTATGTATATTAACCATACAATTGCACCTACTGAACCTGCGATTAGTCATAGGAGGGTGGCATTTCCCCCACACTGGGTGGCCCACACCATCAGAAAGTCTACTCTCAGAACAGACATGTTTCCCAACACAGGGCCAGGGACTCTGGGACCCTGAGAGGCCTGTCCTCGACCCTGGGTACTCCACACCACGACAGATGTCCCCCAACATGGGGCCTGGGGCGCTCACCGCCTGCTCAGTCTCTCCTCACGTTCCCGTTCTTCCCGCCGCCTGAGGCGGTCCTGGTTTCTCTTCTCCTGCTTCTCAGCCACAGTTTTCTAAACAAAGTTACACGGGCCAGAGACGTTCTGAGAGCTGGACACGGTTTCATCTTTAAAGCATCTGAATACCTGCCTACTGTCCCATTCTACAAGTCGAGGGTCAGGAGAGGGCTCCCAGGGAAAACCAGTCTCACCAGAGGTGGCTCCACAGGCTCTGTGGTAGGCTGCAAGCCAGAGGTCAGACAAGAAGCCAGCTGGGGCCAGCTCTGGCTGCCTCAGACCCTCACCTGGGTTGTGAGGGCAGAAGCAAAGGGGCAAGTGTTGTCAGCACCCGAAAGCATCCTGCCCCTGCACCAAGGGGCGGCTGAGAGCAGGCAGCAGGGGGCCTTCCAGGAAGAACAGCTCCCCCAAAGCATGCGCTGCTCGAAGCCCGGGGCCGCACTGGTCACTCCACACGGGCACCCACACCTGCTACTTCCTCTGGACCCCAGGCCCGGGCTCCCTGCCCACCACAAAAAGCCCTTCTCACACCCCGAGGGATTCTCGGGCATGAACATCTCCAGGCGGGAAGGGAGTGCTGCCTGGCCCCTCCTGGAGACCTCGCCCTCCAGGTCTGAGGCGCTGCCAGGGTTGCTACAGGTCACCAGCCAACTCGACAGCAGTGAGCTTTTTCAGCAGAAGCGATTTAGGAAAATCATGAAAGGCTTTAAGTTTGAAAAGATATTACATTAGACAAACATTTGAGGTGATTCATGTTTAAAGAAATACGAGTTTCCCAGCTGCCATTCCAGGAACAGGGATGACCACAGACAGGGAATCACTATGCTCGTTATCGTCTGTCGAGCAGACTGTCAGGGTCTGAGCTGCCAAGCAGTTCAAGTGCACTAGAGGCTCCTCAGAAGAGCCCACCATGTCATGCGCTCTAGGGCTCTGGGTCACAATGACCAACAGCACCTGCTCAGCCCCCCACAGGGCGCTGGGCTGCAGAGATGAGGGCCTCCGCAGAGGCCAAAGCAGCCCTGCTGCTGCCCCAGAGGAAAACCCAGGCCCATAGGACCTCCAGTCTATAGCCCGGGCGAGGTGACCCCAAGATTCTGGGCCCGAGATTCCCAGGACAGGCCGTATGCGTTTGGTGGGTTAGAAGCCCAGGTAGCTGGTGGTGTCTGAGCAGGAGGGTGCTCAGCCCTGCATGCTTACCCGCAGCTGGTCCAGCTTCTCCCGGATCTGAATGAAGCCCAAGTGTAACTTGCCCCCGAAGTGGTCGGCGAGGCGCCGGTCATTGTCATGGAGACCCAAGTAGGCTGAGCAGACCTCACATACACGAAGCTTCTGCTGCTGGAAGCTGGAAGCAGGCATGGAGTTCCTGTACTCCTCCTGCAGGGTGGGGAAGACACACGGCAGGGTGGAGAGCTGTCCCCGCCACCCATTGGGCTGCTCTCGGGAGGACACAGTGATGTTAACAGGGCTTCAGACCAGCCAGCAGACCTAGGGCATGGGAGGTGGGTATGTGCACAGGTGCCCCACTGCTAGGGCTGGGCCTGGGACCAGAGACCTTGACCCCATACGCATAGCCCGAGTTACAGCTTCAAAGGACAAATACAGCAAAATTATCATAAAAAAAAAAAAAAAGGAAGTAGGCACAAGCTAGAAGTAGGTGAACGAACATACCCCAAACTGCCCCTAAAATGGGTCAGTTACCTGGGTGCTCACCCCTCGAGGTGCAAGTTGTTCAGTGGACCCGCACACATTAGCACCCTTCCAGGCGGTGGTAGGACACTCACCACCGACAGACTTCAAAGGTGAAAGAAGACAGCTGGGAAAGCCCTCTGGGGAACAGCAGGCAGCCCCAGGAGCAGAGCAGGTGTTAGAACACGGGACGTACAGCCTCAGACTCCCTGTGGGGCAGTAGGCCTCCTCTTTCTACGGCCACTGTGAGTCGGAATGGACCCGGCAGGTGAGGTTTGGGTGGGGCAATGCCTAGCGCCTTGTCCTAGGGGCAGCGAGACGGACTGATGTCATCAGTGAGGACAAACAGAACAGAGCAACAGCACCAACTGGGGAGAAAGCTCACAGGCGATGCAGAGAGAAGTATGAATTGCAGACCAGGAAGCGTGTGGGCGTGCGTGCATGCGTGCACATGCACACACACACATACACACATGGACAGCAACAAAGACACCCACACGCTAACAGATAGACAGATACACAGACATTGGCGCTTTCAGGCCGTGAAGTGGCCCAGCACACACGAGCAGGGTGCGTGGACACAGGTGCACTAAGAGGCCATGTGTTGCAGATGCTGGGTGGGCACAACGGGCAGAGGGCGGAGCCTAGGAGACTGCTCTATCTCACGGTGCCGGTCACCAAGGAACAAGCCTTCCCACCGAAGGCAGCTCATGGAGACGTGTGGCTGCACAACACGTGTGTGTTGTCGTCCCTTCCTGCAGCTACAAAGTGCCTTTAAAACATCCTCCAGCTGTGCTGACCAGGTCACCCAGGGTGTGTGCAGGTCCCAGCCTGTGGCACTCCTGAGAGTGGCCGTGACCTGATAGCACAGCAGGGCATCCACAGGCTCTCTAAAATTGCCCACAGCAGGGACGATGATCTCACAGGGAATTAAAATTTGGATAAGATTCCCAACCCTTTCTGCAGACATGCCAAGTAGGCAGGCACTGTACTCAGGGCCCCTTTGTCCCACATGTCCAGCGTGCAGCCACCTCCAGCCCCCAGAAACACTACGGGTGCCTCGGGACCACCGTCTTTGCTGAAGGGTGGAAAGGACACGGGGACATTCACCAGGGAAGACAGACCCATGCAAGGCCACAGGCAAAATGATGGGGCACAACACTGATGACTGGTGGCACGGTGGCACGTCCTGCAGCTGGCCTTGTCAAGAATGGTATGAGGATGCGGCTGCTAGGCCCTTGTCTACTGTCAGGGTGCCTGCCTCAGTCCCTCGTATACTATGAAAGGCCAAAGGTCAAAGACAGTGCCTACCTGGGGGTGTCACAGCAGACGAGGTCCACCAGGGTCCTAAGCAAGGCTGGGAGCTGCCACCTGCTCTGCTCAGGACTCCTTCCAACAAGCTCATGGTGCTGCCCCATGGCCTTGACACCCACAGGCTCCTGGCATCTTGAGGGCATCTGACCCCCACAAATTCACGCTCAACAATTGGGTGGAGTCAGGATGAGCAACAGACAGACCCTTCAGGGCACCACTTTCAGCCTGCAGGTCTCCCCATCCTGTGTCCCAGGATGGCATCAGCAGATGAGCACCCCCCAAGACTCCTCCACTCTCAAACTCAGGACCCTCACTGAGCCCACACCCTCTCCACCTGCCCCCACTGTCTTCTCGGTGGCCCCTGCCTGGCCCCAGACCACACTCTGTAAAGGAGGGCCTCCTTCCCCAGGCCCCAAACCCAAAGTCAGTAACAGCGCCACCAGGGCTGCCTGCCTGGAAGCAGAGGGACCCCGCCCTTGGAGCTGGTGCCCACACTGACCTCGGCTTCTTTCTTCCGGGTGCGGACCTTCTCCACCTCCATGAGGGTCTTCTGCGACTCCTCCACATTGCCCTCAGCGCCCAGCTGCTCCGCCTTCGCCAGCAGCTTCCCTATCTCTTCATTCAACTCGTGCACCTTCTCAGCCTGAGGAGCAATAAGAAACAGGTCCACAGGGTCTACGACGGCTGGACCCCCGACACCACGAGCATTTCCAGTGAAGACCAAGTGGTGCCCTTCCCTCTCCGGAACCAAGCAGTGTCTGCAGGACCCGCCTCGGGGGCTGGGGCACCGGGTAGTGTGTGCCACCTCTCTCGTCCAGCTTACCTTGGCCGCAACCTCAGCGCTGATCTCCTCCTGGGTCTCTGCCAGCCGCTTCTTGGCCAGCTCTGTTCTGCGGTCACACTCAGCAATGAAGGACTCCAGATGGTCCATGGCCTATTCGAGGGATCAGAATGCTGCCTGTCACCTATGCAGAGGGTGAGCCACACCAGAGGTCACCAGGGCAGTGACCCCTCTTCCTCTAGTCGGGCTTCCCAGCTCTCAGGAAGGTGGGCAGGCACCCTCAGAGTCTCTGTGGCCATGCACACACTACACTGTCTCATGCACTAGGGTAGAGCCCCCCTGCCACCTCAAAGCCGGAACTCAAGACCACTGGGCGGCAGCCTGTCCTTGGGCCTGCTGTGTTAAGCAGCAAAATGCTGGCTGCAACGTCACCTCTATGGACTGAAGCCTGCTTCACCTGGAGCGGATGGGGACACAGCCGGCGCTACACTATCACACATACTCAGCCTCAAACCAGCCAAAGCCAGGCAGAAAAGCCTGTCCTTTCAGGGATATGCGTACAGGTGACAGATCAGCAATGTTCCCACAAACATAAAGGCCCGCTCCTGGCAGCAGGGCTCTTGACGTCAGTGGGTGTGGAGGGGTGCTGGATGGCGTGCTCCACCACTCACAACAGTCAGAGACAGAGCCACAGGAGCATGAGGGGACACGGTCACCAGGAGAGAATGACAGCAGCACAATCGCCTCCATGGGCAGCAGACTTGGCCAGTGGAGAGACAGTGACCCACAGGACCTGTGACTGCTGCTGAGACATGGGAGAGGGTTCTGGCCAACCTTCAGAATGCTGTGTGCTTTCACCAAGTGCATATGTAAAGGGCAGCTGGCCAAGGCTGTGCAAGTCTCCTAGGACCACCGAGTGAGCCCCTGAGGCCTGTCGCTGCTCATCCATCCACTGGGCAGTTACCCGCCTGCTCCTCCAGCCTGCACACTCAGCGCTGCAGGTGTGCAAGGTGCCGTGGCCCACTCTGACAGTCCCTGTGGCCCAGCTAACACAGGGTGCGAAGGCCTACGCTACCCACAACTCAGCTTCCTGACTCCCTCCCAAACCAGACAACCAGCTGGCCTGCAGAGCAGGGGGCTCCGGTCTGAGACAGGGGTGGTGTGAGACTTGCCCCAGTGCCTGCCCCATACTCACACAGGCGGTGGTGGTGGGGAATAGTAAGCAGAAGCACCCATGGCACCAGAGTGCAGGCAGCTGACAGGCTCTCCTCTGTCAGGGAAACTCAGGACTGGCTGACAGCACGAGAGGTCAGGCTGGGTGTCAGGGCCCGTGATACGGCATCAGAGCCTGGCGAGGAGCCGTCCCTCCCACCCAGTGACCAATGAAGACAAGAAAACTGAAAACCAAACTCATGGTCTCACGGCCACCCAACAGGACTGCCACTGGAGTGGCTGGTAGGCTCTAACTGCCACCCCTGTTAGCACAGGGACCTGCCAGAGAGGAGGGGCCCGCATTCATCGGCAGTCAGGTAGACCTGACGGACAGATGGCTGGGAAACGCATGCTAAGATTGGCTGTCTTAGAAGCCTGTCACATGAAATGCCTCTACGTAACAAAGGGGAAGGATCTGCGGGGGGACCAGCTGGATGGACTGCCTCACTGAAGAAAACAAGCCCCTCACATTTCCGAGGGGTTATTAGCACCAAAGCCTGCCCCGGCCCACACCTTCCCATCAGCCTGTGCACAGCTGAGATGAGAAATGTGCCAAGAACGAATGGGACACGCCCTTTCCACAGAGAATCTCCGGCTGGGGGAAGTGTGTGTGTGTGTGTGTGTGTGTGTGTGTGTGTGTGTGTGTGTGTGTGCGCGCGCGCACGCTCACTAGTGACTGGAGGGGCCATGGCCAGAGGAAAGCAGGGCCTTAGGCGGCTGAGTGCCCAGGTCCAGGGCCACCAGAAGGCCTGACCGGCCGAGTTCTAGCATCTGGTGACCTACCCTCCATTCCAGAAATGGCGGCCGCATTCTGACCCCACACCTCCCCTTAGGGACCTGCCTGTGCTACACAAAAGGAGTACCTGGGACAAGCCCCGAGGGGGAACCTTGAGGAGCCCACCCCCCACTCCCTTCTGTGGTCAGCACTGCCCCTGCAAGACGGAATTGTAGGGGCTTCTGCACCAAGCCTGGCCGTTCAACTAGCCCAGCCATCTCCTCAACACTGCCGAGAGGAGGGGGCAGGGTGGGCTGCAGGGTCCCAGGCCAGAGGAGGTGCCAGAGGCAAAGGCATTGTTCACGGCCCCAGGAAGGCACCACTGACCAGATCCAGAACACAGGAGATGCACCCTCTACAGGATCCGACAATGCCGCAGAGAAAAGGCAGAAGCGGAGACCCACACAGAGCTCGGGGCCCTGGTCCTGAGTCAAACTGTGAAGACAGGGATATGGGAAAACGGATCCACATCCTGGCTGATGCCAAGAATGTGGGATTTCAGGCTGGGAGGTGAGCACCAAGGGCTGGCATGCCAGCAGCTCACTCCCCCATCCGCCCCCCCCCCTTAAAAGGATAAAAACTGTAGCACAAGGTTTCTGCAAGAGGACAGCAAGCCCTCCCACAGCAGTGTCCCAGGACACTGGCCTGCCACCACTCTGGATGGGCAGAGCACCCAGGACTCCCAGCAACGGCTCTGAGACCAAACCAAACCTGTGTCCTCAGACAACACGCTACTGTGCTCTAGGCCCCAAATTCACACAGCAAATTAGCCTCCCCAGTTCTGGTGGTGTAGTGGCTTTCATGTTAGACTGCTAACCACAAGGTGGGCGGTTCAGAACCAGGCAGCCACTTGTTGGGAAGGAGAAGCAACTTTCTGCCCCCGGGAATCTCTCCTGTAACCAAACGAAACTTCTCCCAAACGCATAGCTAATGAGTCACTCAGAACAATCCCAGAGCGCAGTATGATTGCCCTATGGGTTTCCAAGGCTGTCAATCCTGCGAAGAGCAGAGAGCCTAATTTCTTTTCCGTGGAGTAACTGGTGGGTTTCAACTTCAGATCTTGTGGCTAGCAGCCCAACACATAACCCACTCCAGCACCAGACCGACTGCCCGACAGGGTCACCGAGCTGGAATCCGCTCAGTGGTGGTGAGTTTTGTTTTTTTGTTTAAAAAAACCCTTTCCCTGCACCTTGCTCAGTTCAGTGGCCTTGGTTCCAGAGTTCCCAGTGTCCTCTGTCAGGTGTCCCTTCCTCCTTCTGGCAGCTTTGTTCTGGGGGGAATGTTGCCTATCTGGTCCCATTTCATTACTTTGAAACCGTTTCTCAGTCAAAGTGGACCAAGCCCTCAGGAGCCCTGGTGGCGAAGTGGTCAGCGGCGGGGCTGCGAATGACACAAACAGCTGTCTGAAACCAGAGGCTGCGGGGGAGAGGCGGCTGTCCCCTCCCAGAGTCACCATCTCGGAAACTCACGGGCAGTTCTACCCTGTCCTAGAGGGTCGGCCGGCACCACCTACGTGGCAGTGAGCTTTGTTCCAGTCAGAGACTAAATTCCAAAGTCAAAGGGGCCTTAGGGTGTGTGACAGTTACATGATCTGGTGTCAATTTGGGACTCGAGAGGATTAAGAGCAAAGGGTGGAGTCTACGCTGCCAATAGGATCATAGTCAATGAAGCCTCTGTGAGGGCATGGCCTTCTCCTGAGAATGCTGGGAACTCCTCTATTTTCCTCCTTAGAAGCCGGACACACGAGAGATGCTCTACTGACAAAACACATAGCCCTGCACCCTGGGAGCTGGAGAAGCCACATGGACCTACCCTGAGGCAAACAGACCTCTGGAGCCGGAGAAGCCATGTAGACCCCTGCCAGCGCTGAAATGCTTATGCCACTGGATCCAGACTTCCAACCCACTGGCCTGTGGTCTTCCTGAACTCGGCGTCCCTGCATGTGTTTCCTGAATCTAACGATGACTTTATAGATTGGCATCGGACTTTGGGGCTAAGATCTGGACATATGAACTTGATCTGGACTGGGATGTTTTCTAAATATTCAATTGTTCTTGTATATAAGCCTCTTTCTTATCCATATATGAGTTTCTATGAATTTGTTTCTCTAGTCCACCCAGACTAACACAGGGTGACAGTCTGGTGGGGGCGGATGATGATGACAGACACACAGGTCCAGTCTCCATCAGTTAGTAAGTCTGACATTTTTAGGAATTTGCGTTTGGCTCCACACTCTTCGCCCATGTCTATCTGGGATTTCCTGTTGACCCCTAGGCACACACGACCTGGTCTCAGGTGGACGTGTCTGTGGATCATGTGGGTGACACAGCCCCTGAAGGGCTCCCCTGAGCCTTAGACTTCCATCACTCTGTTCCATATGCGTGGAGACCAACAGTCACCTCTCCCATGGTCACGCACAAGCTGTTACTCACCAAACATCGTCTTCGGGAACTACAGCCGGGCCACGTGGGGGTCCCCAATCCTCCCCCCGGCACACCAGTCCTGCACTGTGTGTACCAGGCCCCTGGCAAACAACCCACCAAACACTCAGAATGTGCTTCTTTTCATTTTAAAGCAACGTGGTGGCAACCTCTGGGGAGAACAGGGCCTGGTGCTTGTTTTCCACCTGGGCCCTCCAGCTGGGGTAGGCACCCTCTGACCTTAGAGAGCCCTAAGGAACTCCGTGTCCGACCGAGTTTCAGAGCTGAGTTCCAAGCGCTGGTGCTCTGCACAGCAGCCTCGCTGACCACTCCCCTGGTGCCAGGTGTCTGCGTCCCCAGCGCATGCCCCCACATAAGCCTTTGCCTCTATTTCCTATCATGCCTGTAGGACAGAGATCTGTGGAAGCCACAGACACAGACTTTCAATGCTTCATTTCTGTCCATAAAGAGCCTTCTAACGTGACTTTCAATGACCCAGGACCTGGCATCTGCGTCTGCCTTTTACAATGGTATGAACCAGCAGCCACACACAGGTTTGCACCATGCGGGCCCCACCCTAGCACACTGTGGTCATGCAGTGCACATTCCAAACCTGCTCCCACGTGGGCAAGTCTTCCGGTGAGACGGTTTCTTGACAATTCTTTGGAGGGGATTCAAAATCTATACATTTTACAAATTTGTCAAAGAGCTAACGGGACCTTAAAATTCAAGATGAAAGGTCTGTTAAAAGTGAAGGTCATCAAGCTGTGCGCTCAGCAACTAAGCCCCAGGAGACTGTGCTTTACCCAAATACCTTCTCCTCTGGGAAGAAACGAATCATGAATCAATGAACCCCACAAAACTCTGCGCTAGGAAATTCTGTCTGTGTACTGCCAATGGCTCATGATGCAGCTACGGTCACATTAGGAGGTTTACATGGCTTCAGTAGAACCAGGGGTTCCCCACCTCAATACCTGCGTGAGGCTATCCTGTCCTGCCCTGCCCCAACTTAGCACCCCCACGCCGGGCTGCTTCCACCAGGGCATCCACAGTCCCTGGACACACACACTTCTGGCCTACCCCACCAGTACTGCAGCGGCCAGGGATTCCAGGCTACATACATACATCATGAAGCCGCCTCTGAACCAACGGTGGTCCACCCACCAGGAGGGACACCCTCCCTCCCAGACACCAACCCTGTCAACACACTGTAGCGGGGACATCGGCAGGCTCAGCAAGCCAGTCCACTTGCCCTTTGTGCCAGCACTTCTTTAGCCTCTGCTTACCTAATTTCCCAATTTGAAAAAATAACACCCCAAACCCAAATCAGCTTTCCTGATAAAAGAGAAAGCTAGGAAAACGGGACCCCCCACTGCTGGCCGCACTTGTGAAAGGACAACGGGCCACGCGATGTTTCTCTAAGCCTCCGCTCCACAGCAGGGCCTCAGATGAGAGAAGTGGGCCCCACACACGTGCACGCCCGCAGGAGCTTGTAACAGTGAGCTCGTACACAAGCCAAGTTCAGCCTGTCATCATTTCCAACGGAAACAGACCTACGGCTTCAGCCAGTGTCTCCCAACTTCATTCTGCAAAACTAAAGACACATCACAGCTTATTTGTCTTGGGGGCTTACAATCAGGCCATACTTCTCAGCTCTACAGTGCACAGCAAGCCTGCGGCAGCTCTCCTATCAGAGCTGGCAGCCTCCTCCTCCTCCCGCAGAGCAGCTGGTGGACTGAAATGCCGACCTTCAGTCAACAGCCCAGCACCAAACCTCAAGTGGAGCAAGGCTCTGCAGAGCACTACCTGCAGGTGCGTGTTAAGTAAAAGGTAGGGCGATCTTTGTATCATTGCGATATATAGACCACACCGTGTGTTATGGACACTGTTATTTATTATTTTTTTCAAAAAGCAGTAACCGCTGGAAGCAAGTCTGATGGTCACAAGTCAAGAACCACCTGCCTGTGGGACGTTCAAACAAAAGCAAGTTCCACAAAAAGCCCAATGGACTGCCCTCGAGCCAACCCCATGCAGGGCCACCTGGTGGGACAGAGAGCTGCCTGGAGGAGTTTCCAAGCCTATAACCCTCAGAGGCAGATTCACATGTGTTCTTGTGTTGGAACAGATGGGCTGGAACCCCTAACCTTTCATTAACAATTGGGTGCTTTAGCCAGAAAAAAAGCCATGCACTGCATCAAGTCGATTCCAACTCAAGAGCTACCCTGTGGGACAGAGTAACCACCCCTGTGGGTTTCACAAGGCTGTAAATCTCTATGGCAGCAGAGAGCCACAGCCTCCTCACAGCTGCTGGGTTCTAAGTGTGACCTTTCTATTAGCAGTTCAATGCATAATTCACTATGTCCCCGGGGCTCAACAGAAACAAACCATATCTTAAACACAGTAATATCACAAAAAATAACACTGACTTTAAAAAGGCAAGTTGTTAAGTCTATCTACATTAAAAAACCATTCTTATAAAGCTCAAAAACAATATCAGAAAACACTATCGGCCAACTATCTGGTAGTACAATGAGTGTTTTCACCAGCGTGATAGCTCTTGCAGGACAGTGACACACCCAGGTCCTAACACCCACAGCCATCGAGTTGATCCAGATTCACCAGCCACCAGGGCTCCCTAGGGGCCACACAGGAACTAGAGCTGGAGTGGCCACACATTCAGGAAGCCTGTCCCTCCATAACTTACGCAGGCCACGTTACTCTGGCTGGTTGGACATGTGGCTCTTCAGTGGGGACAGACCAGAGCGAAAACACACTTACGTCCAATTCAAAGAACAGGTCTCTCTCTTTACTTGCAATCTCATAGTCAGCTCGGAGGGCCAAGTCGTGGATTTTGGTACATTCTCCCAAATCCATGCGCTGTGGGAAAACAACAGAAAATTCAGTGTGATCACCTCACCCTCTACAGTAAACACAGACTTGGATTCTTCAGTCATGGAAACCATTACTTTCACGCATCTTGTAAACCAGGATGAGGAAGCTGCGAGAGGAGGGATGGGCTGAGTAGCTCCGCTGCTGCTGACAAAACGCTCCCAGCCGCTGCGGCTAACCATGGAAACACTTTCCTTTCCTGTCGGAGCCACAGTTGTGAGACTGCAGCCGCCTTGCCACAGACAAAGGAGGGAAAGGGAAGCTTGGCCAATTCACGCAAACCTCAAAGCCACTGAGTTGCTGCTGTAGCCAGCAACCCAGCAAGACAGGGTAGAAATACCCTGTGGGTTTCCGAGGCTGTAACTCTTTCCAGCCTTCCTCCCAGGCAAAGACCAGAGCTGGCAACCACAAAGCCAAACAGCACAGGGCTGGGTGGGTGGGTAGGGGGTGTCCTTCCTACACAAGGGGGAAATGGACAGAGCCAGGGGGCTAAGACCACACCAGCCCCCCAGGACACTCTCCCAGCCTGGTCAGCCAAGGGTCACTCGTTTGGCCCATTTGAGTCAAAACGACCCTGTGGTCAATCACAGGGTCCAGCAACATGCAAAGCAAACGGGGACCAATTTGCACCCCGACTACTACTCAGCCATAAGGAGATACTGGATCCTGCCGAGAGCTCGGGCTCGGGTGGGTGGCCCTTGCCCACGTGACACTGTGAGACTAGTCAGACCCAAAAACGACAAAGGTCACGTGACCCCACTTAAAGGAAATACCTAAAACAGGCAAACGCAGAGACAAAAGGTCGTTAGTGGTTTCAAGGGGGAGTAGGATGCTAGGGAAATGAAGGATTACTGCTTAAAGGGGCTGAGTTTCCACTTAGGGTGAAGACACCCATGTGGAAATAGTGGTGACGGTTGCACAACACAGTAACTATAGTGTCACTGAATCCCACACGTAAAGACGGTTACAATAACAAGTGTTTCACCACAATAAAACTAATACACATTATTTGTGCCGTTTGGACGTTTGAGACCAGAAATTCCTTTAACTTCAAATTGGAATCATGTCCAAAATCTACTGCTCAGTGACTCCAAGCATCTGCTAAACCCACCCACCCAGAATTTTCAGTGACTTAAGGGATGGTCTGAGGTATACTTGCAAAGGACAAATGAGTCACAAATGAGGTGACTTTCCAGGCACCTGCTGACATCGTCAGACCGTTTAGCCATGAAGTATGCTGTCACCAAACCAATGTCACCTGTCACCTCAAGGGTGACACACTCTGACCTCCCTCCACGGCATCCTACAGGGCATCCTAGTACCCAACTTACATGAGCCTTCCTAGAAGACCCCCAAAATGCACTCACCGTCCCGGCCAGGATGTCATGGGGGCAGCAGTCCAGAAGGTGACTCTTGCAGACACGGTCATCTGTAAACTTGACCCTCTGTCTGGTTTCATCTCCTGAAAGTCATGTGTTATTTTAAATAGGACCGTAGGATCACGTCAACCAGAGAAAGAGCTGTGCCACACAATTCACTTGGGTGTGCAGTCTATCACCTCTGTGTCCTCCCCGATACACACTGAAACATTTAGCTACAGACATTCGCAGGTGCAACAGACACAGATGTTCTCTGAAGCTGAGCGCATCATGAAGAAACAGACTGAATCAGATCTGACTCCTTCACTGTGCCAAGAAGTCAACAAGTCAGGCATCAGCAGCTGGCAAGCACTAAAAGGCCGTTAGTCCCACACGTACGTGTGGGGAACCAGAGCCTAACCCCATGCTAATCAGAGGGTCACGCGTCGCCATGTCTGCCTTTTCTACCCGCCAAAGCTGGTCACTATCAACCTCTTTTGTCGTGGACAATTGCACGGGCAGCGTTTTGCCCCAAATTACACGAAGATGGAAGCTTCCAAAGGCCACCGGTTAGATAACCTTTACTTACACTTCCTGCCCCCGCTTTGCCCCCACCCTTAAAAAGAAAAAATAATGAAGAGCTGGCACCTGGGAGTCACTTTTATCAAGACAATACCAGGAGGAGGAAAAAGTAAAATAAAACAAGGCAGAAAAGAACTAGGTTAGTGAATACACACTGTGAGCTCCAACACATACTGTACCCATCTGCATTCTTCAACCTCAGCTGCAGAATTTTATGCCCGCTGTTGAAAAGTTTTAAAGGGAAAGTTTTCTTGCCCACACCTGCAGTAAGGAAGTCAGGGGAATGATACATGAAAGTAAAGGCAACGTGGTATGTGACAAAATTTAAGACTAATCTGTGCTTATCCACACAGAGCTGTGTAATAGTTCAGGCTTCGCAAGCATCCAGGATTAATGGAGTGTCTACCTTTTTATTTTTTTGTTTCTTTAAATTGAAAATGTTTTCTTTCTAAACTACACTTTTAAAGTTACTTGTGAAAAAATGCAAACACTTTTTTTGTTATAACAGCTTAGAAATTGGTTGTGACTCACGGCTCGATGAACATGAGGCTTTTCTGCAACTCCTTGCAGATTGATGTAGGCAGGCAAAGATACACTGAACCTTTATAAATAAAATAGAGGGGCCACAATTGTTCAGTTTGTATGAAATAAAAATATGGGAAGCAATTCAAAAGCAACTCAATATACAAAGAACGCTAGAAGGCACGTTTCCACCTACGAGGAGGCCAAGTGCAGGGACGCTGGTCTGCACGGCCCTGCAAACCGAGCCGGCGTGGCCTCTCAGTCCGGGCACGTGGGCAGAGAAAAGAAAGCCAACCACACAGGGACAGCGCTGGGCAGAGATGCAACCGCGTCCCCCGAGACGACCGGCTCGGGTCCGACCTACCTACACCTGCCGACCGGGGCTAAGCGCGGGCTTGCCTCCGCGTGGGGACGGGCTGGACCGGCACG